GGAGAATGCCTTTGAATATGCATTGTTTGACGCAGAGTCTATGCATTAATTTGGGGTGATCTCAGATTTGAAAAACAGAAAATGTGGCTTGAGTTGAAATTCAGTATATTCAATCTATTGAGTGTAACATATCTTGATATTGTATCTACTATGACTTGAGCCCTAAGTTGTTTTCTTATGCATGTGCAAAGAGAATTCTAGCAATTTTTCCTCTGACATCACATAGATTTTCAGAAATATCCTAACCACTGGGGAAGTATATGCTTAGGGACGTAATGGGAAGGGAAACATATTGTAAATATGATCCTTTGTTCAGTTCATAAAAGGACACATGAATCAAAAATTAATTGAAATCAGATTGCTAGGATTTAAACCTAGACAGACTATAAATCAAAGCTAACTGATTACCTGTGATTGTTGCTCGTTGCTGAGGCAACCAGCATGCAGTGAGAACAAATCTGACTAGCTGATTTGGTGGAGACCACTTAGATTGCTATAGTTCTCAGATGAGTTCCTTTAATTCCCTACATGTTTCAGTCAGTAAAATTCCTTTGCATGTGGTGTACAGTATATGGAATTTGCTCCATTTCTTGCATTAGTGATACACTTAAACAGTTACACAAATTAAAACCATGGTTTTGAAAACTAGAATTGCACTTGTCTTAGTGTTCTCTGACTTCATTTGTTGTTAGAAAAATAATTTACAGTAATGCTCATTAAATTGAATTACATACCCTTTCACTCTGCACTATTCTCTGCACTGTTTTTTCCTTTTCTTTAGCATTACTTGATGGCAACCCACAGTCAGGCCTGCAAGAATAACAAAACCGTATGCTATTTAGACCACCAGGCTGAAAGGGTAAGGAGGCAGCATGTCTGACTGCTTCCCACTCACAAAAGTTTAAATTAATATGGCAAGAAGAAAATGAAACTCTTCTGAATGCCTAGTTTTCTTATCTTGTATTCCACCTTTCCCCCATGAGCTTAAGGTAGTACAGGTTAACAGCAGTTAAGAGTGGTAATTAGGACCAGAATTTTCCATTGCTAAGCAATGCAGTTATAAAATGTGATGTCATGTGACCACATTGCTTAGTGACAGCAGTCTCCATTGCCGTCATTAAGTTAGGATTGTGAGTTGTTAAGCAAGGACCTCCTTGCGTCTTCCTGCCACCTTCCAACAAGCAAAATCAGTGGGGAAGCTGGTAGGTAGTCGTGAGTCCCAGGAGGCTTGCAAGCAGGGCGGCAGGCAGGTAAGTGGCTACTGTGGCCCAGCATGAGTGCAAGTGGGCCAGGAGTGGCTGCAGCCGGGGGCAGGAGGGTGCACAAGCCATCCTACGCTCCACCACTTCCATGGCCCCAACTGACCTTTGCCACCTTCTTCATCCTGCTGCTGACAAGGTGCGCCCAGCCTGGCCCTTTGCAAGGCAGCTGCTGGCCATGTGTGACCTTCTTGCGAGGCTACAGAAAGCCTCATGTGACTTCAAGAAAGCCACACATGGTCTCAGGAAGAAGGCCTTGCATGGTCAGCAGCTGCCTCATGAAGGTCCAGGGCAAGTGTGCCTTGTCAGCAGCGAGAGGAAGAAGATGGTGAAGGTCAGCTGGGGGTTAACGGGCAGCGGAGTGCAGGGGCAGTGGAGCGCAGGGCAGCCAAAAGAGCTGAGATGTGGGGAAGGTGGATGGGTGGGGGAAAGCTGAAGTGCACGCTGTGGTTGCAAATGTGGGTGGGCTGCTAAGCGCCTGAATTTTGATCACGTGACTGTGGGGATGCTGCAATGGCCGTAACTTCAAGGACCAGGCATAAGTACCATTCATTCAGTGCCACCGTAATTTCAACCAGTCACAAAATGAATGGTCATTAAGCTAGGACTACCTGTATACGTTCTTTTCTGTTTTTATATTCACAGCAACCCTGTGAGGATGCTAGGATGAGAAACCTAGTGAGCTTTGGAAGAAATACTTCCATCTTCATTTGAGCTGGTGCAGTCTAGGAACCAGTGGTGTGCAGAATCTTTCAGATTCAGCCTGTCAAATTTGAAATGCCTTACTTCAGATTTGAAAGTTTCATAAGCAGAACTGGCTGCTTCAATCACTTTTGGCTTGAAACACTTCCAGAATGGTTGACATTTCCCACTTTCATCAGTTATTCTGAACTTGAAATGGAATGTTTCAAATTCAAAATGCTCTTCGCATCCCTACTAGAAACAACTCATTTGGGTGATTTACATTAGAGGAACCTAAATTCAGCATATGCATGGTACTTAGTCTTAGATTAGTCTGTCACTTAAAGTCAGACTAATCTGACACTGGCAGTTGGATAGTGTCAAATTTCACTATTATGAAAGCTAAAACCTTTCCCGACTCAGATATCAGCCAGCAGGCTATTAACCAGATCAGTCTGCCTGTAGCTTATGCACTTCAGATATGTAGACAGCATTTGTTAGTCTCAGCTGTGCCTAAAAGTAGATCTCAAGAGTTTATAATAAAAATTATTTTGTTTGTGCCTTCCTACGATAATTTTCTTTATGGCCTAGTATTTTCCCTTTTTTCTGCCTTTTATAATTTTTCCTTATGTTAATTTTTTTTTAGTTTTTCATCTGATTCTTCTTCTTTTTTCAGCATTGGTTGGACAACACAAAGAGTATTAAAAAACAAGTTAAAAGTAAGTGGTTGGACTTTTTATATATTTTTCAGTGAAGTATTGGGTACATATTTGGGGAGACTGTTTCTCTAAAAGATATTTTGACAAAATGAAATAAAGAAAATGTTGCAGTAACAGAAAACTGGCATTTTAGTTCCCTTTGATTCAAGTTATTTCCTTAAATATGTTGCATTGAAAATTGGCTTGTTGCCAAACTAGATGGTTATAAAAAAAAAATCTTGCTGCTGCTTTCATCTTGCCATGTTCTTTCTCTTCTTTCCAACTTTACTGAAAAACAGATTGATGGTGGTATTTTTTAAGAATCTTTGTTCCTTTGGCCTATTGTTCCTATTTCTGGCTTTTTCAAATTACTGTTATGGTAATAAAATTCATAATGGGGCAGAAAGCTTGAAATTCTAGTACAACAGGTACCTTGAATCAGCGGTTGCTGAGAAGATGCGTAAATAGCATCAGGGACTTTCTGGTCTAGAGTTTCTCTTATTGAAAGTTGAGAAACAGAACCTACCATAACAGAAGTTAAGTAGCAATATGGGTGAAGGCAAAATGCATGCAATCTGCTTCAAAATGGTTGCATTTTCTTTGCTACCAAAAAGGCATAGGATCCAGGCTTTCAGTAACACACATGAAATAGGTGTTACTGGGATAGTAAAGGTTTTGGAAACTGGTTAGAAATTCAGAGAGGTTCCAGGATTAAAAGACCTAAAGAGGTGGAACAAATTAGGAGAAGGCTTTCTTCCCAGGAAAGTACAGTATGTTTCTTTAATTTGCACTTTGCAAATACCATACAAACTTATCTAGATATCTTTGCAATAGTTTGCACTCCAAAAATGTAATGTCTCTTGTTTCAGCTCTAAATCTGTAGAATGTGTGCTGACACAAGCTCCCCCAGCCAAGATCTATGGATTTCTCACTTCATAGAATACAGTTTGGTAATACGGGGATTAACCTAGATTTGTCTGTTCTTGGCAAGGCAAATCAACTTAATGTAATGTAACTTAGGTGGCTTCTAATACCTAATATAAAACTATTTTTGCCTTTTTTAACATTCCCTCTTTTTTTGCTGGCATATTTTATATCTAAAGGGTTTTTTTTTAAATTAATGTCATTTTGAGAACAATTTCTAAATGATATGTGCCTGTATGAACATCTATGCAAAATATTGTCTTTGCTATCAGTAACACATATTCCTTTCTGTAGTTGGTCCACCGTACTGTCTTCATCTTCGTGTAAAATTTTATTCTTCTGAGCCAAACAACCTACGTGAAGAGCTCACAAGGTACATTGTATGCAAACAGGAAATCTACAAATCCTGCAGAAAGGTTTTCACAACCTGTATTTGTAGCCCAGTGTACAACATACTAATCTGAATATGAATGTTGCAGGGTTGCTCGGCTTTGAATAGTTAAATAAAAATCGAGTACCAATAGAAACAAATATGTGTAGCTCAGGATTGAACTGTGGAGTCCTTGGGGTTCTCTGAACTTGGTTGTTTTCTTGCAGACGTTTCATTACCGTGCACTGAAGATATTTCCTAGCTGGGTAATGAAACGTTTGCAAGAAAATAACCAAGCTCAGAGAACCCCAAGGACTC